AGCCGAGTCCCGCCGGCGGTCGCTCCCACCGAGGCCATGGGCAGGGAGGCTCTGCGCTGCGGGAAATGAAGGCGGTTCAGGAGCGAGCGCTCACCCCGAGGCGGGCGCAAGTCCACAGGGAAGTCTGGGAGGACTGAGGCGAGGAGAGGTCACATTTATTTCTGTCATCTGTGGGGCATTTCCAGGGGCGACCTCTCAGTATTTCAAGAACGGACAGTCTGTGGAACCCCCGCCCCCCACATTCCTGTCACGCCGAGGTGGTACTGGGATGGGGAAGGTCTGCGGGCCGCATAAGCGAGCTGTGCCAGCCTCCTCTCCCGCCCCTGCCAGCCACGCCCCAAGGCCGGGCCCGCGCTCTAGGTTTCCTACCCCACAGGCGGACAACTTGCGGAGTTTTCCCGCCTTTTCTGTCCCCGGGACCTCGACGTGCGCGAGACCGAGCCACGACCAACCACAAACCTGCAGGAGGAGCGCGCGGACGCCAGGACGGGTGCGCGCGCAGGGGCCCCACCCACTTAATCGCTATTGGTCGGAGAGACCCGGTCCTGCCTAGAGAGCCAGCAGGACGAGAGGGGGAGGGGCGCGGTCGCTAAGAAGGCTGGACGCTGATTGGCCTGTTCTTAAATGGGTGGTGCCAAGACGTTCAAACTTCCCGCCCTCGGCCGCCGCTCAGCCGCCGGGCCTCTGCCCCAGGGTTTCCGGGATCTGATTAACGCGGGGTGGAGCCTGAGAGGAGGCCGGAAGCCGAGCTCCAGTCCTAGCCTAGGAAACTGTTCTGGGGGCTTTGCCGGGGGAGGGGGGAATTCGGCAGAACGAGTTTAAAGGGCCAGAGGCGCATTGTTTTTTCTGGAGAGTGGAGATAAGCAACAATAATTCAACTGTGTCAACAACTCTAAGTTAATATTTGTTCCTCTTGGTTTATTTATAAAGAGCTTAGAACAGTGCCTGGCAAACGTAGTAAGAGCTATGTGTTATAAATAAATAAGCAGAAATAAGTGAGACTCGCCCTAGCTGGTTTAGCTCAGTGGATAGAGTGTCAGCCTGTGGACTCAAGGGTCCCGGGTTCGATTCCGGTCAAAGGCACATGACCAAGTTGCAGGCTCGATCCCCAGTGGGGGTGTGTGCTGGAAGCAGCCAATCAATGATTCTCTCTTATCATTGATGTTTCTAACTCTATCTCCCTTCCTCTCTGAAATCAATAAAAAATATCTAAAAAAGGAGAAAGAAGTGAGACTCGTATCTCAACCTCCTCTGCCGATTTCCTGGGTACAGTGTATGAACACCCCACGGGGGCACCACAGGGCCTAATCATTTTAGGCCACCCCAACCCGAAGTGAAAGTGTAGGAATTGCATCCAAGTCTGACAGAGTAGACCTGATAAGAACACCTACACTCCTTTAGGGACATGCCCCACCCCTGGGCACACACACCTGGTAAGGACAGAGGGGGCTCATTCCTACAGCAGCTATGTAGTCCTACTCTGGGTGGTGGACTCAAAGCAATGAATTAAGTCTGAGCTCCATGAAGCTAACTTTTGAGTGTGTGTGAGTGTAGGAGAAGCAAGGAGATAGATTGTGAACAGAAATAAACAAATGTATACCTTTAAGAAACAGATCCCTGCAGATACACATTCCTCCCAGCTTTGTCCTGGGTACCCTGAGATGGGGAGGTCCCACCCAAGACTTTAGGAAAGATGGTGGGGTAACCTGGCTGAACAATGGCTGGAGAGCCCCCTCCATGGAGAGAGGTGGGGAAGCTAGTTAGGGCAAGGTTAATGGTTACCCTTGGCAAACTGTTGAGCAATGGAACCATGGAAACCTGGAGGAGGCTGAGGAGTGTCTGGGAGGGACACACCTTCCAATCGGGTGGGAAGAGATTAGGGACTGGTTTACCAAGCCCAGGAAGGGGAGAGAGTGGAAAGGAAATCCTGCCCAGGAAAGGAAAGGGGAGCTACTGCGACAGGAGAAAGTGGGGGGCAAGCAGATGAAGTGGGAGGCAGCCTCTGAAGCAGGATTTGGGGCGTGGCTGGGTGGTACCAGGAGAGGGCAGCATCACCTGTCAGCGGGGAAACTGAGGCAACAATACCTTGTGGAGGGCCATGCCAGCAGCCGGTCAGTACTGAGGATGAAGGCAGCTCTAGCTAGAAAGCGTCGGGAAGAGAGAGGCAGGGGAGCAGCTGCCAGACCTGTTTGGGTTCAGGGCTGGCCCACTCGCTTGAGGGTCAGCTTCATGGGCAGCGTCTCTGGGGGACACTGACAAGCTGGACGGAGCACCTGGCCTAGCGCTGCTGGGCCCTCAGCTGGACGGGGCTGCGTGCAGGCTTGGAGGGTCACCATGCAAGGAATTCCCTTTAGCAGGAATCATTCTACCTCCTTACAGGATGTCACA